CATGGCAATAGATAGGCAAGCATGGCTCTGGAGTAGTAGTAGTGTCCTAATACCAGGTTTCACCAAAACTGTCTGTGTTCTTAATAGCAAGGACTTTGGTTTCTTGGGGCACAGCAACCTAATGAAGTGTTTCATTCAAAACTTTCTTAGTATATCAAAGAAATTGTTTTTTAAGCAAAGGAGTAAATTGTTACTTGAATTAATAGTCATTTGCCACATCTCGGTCAAATCTTTTGGTTTTATTTCTTAGAAATGTAACATAATGCCAGAGGCAAATGCTTTTATAAACCAAGAGGAGAGTGTTTGAATGAAGAAAATGGAAAAGGCGAAAGTGGTGAAATCCTTAGCATAGGAAGCCCCTTGGGCAGATGAGCACAGGAGGGAGGTGTTTGCTCAGGAGAAGCTGTGGATGGACTCCCTTGAATGACCTGTACCTGAACATCGCCTTCGTATACTCTTGGGCCCCTGATTTGAGCAATTAGTCGTGTTTGTTTGTATCTTTTTGGATATAGTCTTACTTTCTTTGGGTTTTAATTCCCCAAATATATTCCCATTATCTATTTACTGGAATACTGTGTTGTATATCAGTCTCCAGTTGCTTAATACACATTGTGAATTAAATTGAAGCATTTGCTGAAGACTCGATTTCTAAGCTAGCACTGTAACTGTATTTGTAATTCTATGAGATAGATGAAATAGGAGTTACATGATCTTCATGTGTCTCACTGTGAAGCGTAGTAGAATATTTTAAGGTGTGTTACTTTTGTTTATATTTCATTTGTTTAACTCTGTGAAACTGTGTTACTGTGCCTGTGTAAAACACCTGATGGCTTAATAAATAACTGGCCAATAGCAAGGCAGGAGAAAGGAGAGGAAGGGCTGGCAGGCAGAGACTATATAGAGAAGGAGAAAACTGGAAGGAGAGATGTAAGATCTAGCAGCCAGAGGAGGAAGAGGAGGAGGAGGACTCCAGGGGCTAACCACCCAGCCACTCAGCTTCACAGCAAGCCATGGAGTAAGAGTAAGACTTACAGAAGTAAGAAAATGGGAAAATCCCAGAGGAAAAAGGTAGTTGGGGTAATTTAAGTTAAGGAAAGCTGGCTAGAAACTAAGCCAAGCTAAGGCCGAACATTAATAATTAATTGTAAGCCTTTGTGTGATTTATTTGGGAGCTGGGTGGTGCCCCCCCCCCCCAAAAAAAAGCAAAACCCTCCAACAATAGTGAAGCATACTTGAAAGAAGCCTTTTGGTAGGAAAAATCTTTGCAAAAGATGGTATAGATAGCAGTTTTAGGAATGAGCATGGCTCTCTTCTCTTATAATTAGATGAAACAATTAAGTTAGTCAGTTTCCCATTGCTGTAACAAGATACCTGAAATAAATGAAATTAAAGGAGCCAAGATTTATTTGGCACATCTTCAGAGGCTTCAGTCCGTGGTCAGCTTGCTCCATTGCTATGGGCGTGAAGCTGAAAATCATGATAGCAGGAATGTGTGTCACAAGATGCTGTTTACCTCATAGCAGCCAGGAAGAGATGGCGGCCAGATCCAAAATATATCCTCCAAAGACATCCTCCTCTCCAAGTTCCTCCAAGGAGGCCCCGTCTCTTAATGGTCCATTCAGCTTGAACTCATCAGTAGGTCAATCCACGGGTAAAGATTAGTCCCCTCATGATCCAAGCCTCTCTCAAGACCTCCACCAACCAGAAACCAAGCCTTCAACACAAGAAAGAACCTTTTCAGGATACTGTATATTCAAACTATAACAGTCGCCATGTTTTAACAGCATTCCTCTTTCTCATTAGGGTGTGTCCTTATCTTTGGAGTGATCTTAGAGAGACTTTCTGTCTTGTGCTAGAAAAAAGTCATTCACCAAAGAGGAGACAGGGAGGTAAATCAGAAGATGTACTAATATTCTTAAGGTCTACATTGTATCATAGGGTTAGAGTCACAGCACATGCAATCTCATTTAAGATGAGTATGACTATAAGAGAATAATTGTTTGGAGGCCTTCACAGGGCATTGCAGTGGGAGAAAGAAAGTTTGGTTTGTATGTGACAGACATGGTAGCACATTACCTGTAATATAGCTCTTAGAAGGCTGAGGCAGGAGGATTGCAGATTTGAAGCCAGCCTGAGCGACATAGTGAGATCCTGTCTCAGGAATCAAAGTGGTTGGGGGTGGGGAAAATGGTTTATTTGTTTACCAGTAAATTAAATAATACTTTGGTGTGAGAATTGATATATGTATATATTTAATAAGTAAGACTGGGAGTATCATTAATTTTTTAATATTAGACACTTGATTTGTAGCACATTAGCAGTGCTTTTATTAAGATTTTACTATTTATATAACTTTATACCTAACCCTGTAGTATTATTTTAGATGCCTCTGCTTTACCTATTTATTAGTAAAAACTGCATATTATAAACAGGTATTAGATTTTAAACTGTCTGCTGCTCTTTCTATTCCATATCCCAAAGCAAAATAATTGATATAGGTATTGCATCCAATAAACATTAAAAATATATTAATCAAGATAAACAATTCAGTATCTGTTGTGCTTGTTCTTAGTGCTCAGGTGCAGGCATGCATGTGCATTGGGTTCTGAAGGGAGCACCCAAATGTCCTCTCACCTCTGCATAGCTTCTGAGTATTACCAGGTAGAGGTCGCCCAAGTGTCCTCCAGTTTTCCTTTCTGTGCCCCACCAACTCTCCATTATTTTAGAGTAAAAACAGTTTTTCCAGAGTACTTTTTGGTATGACGTAAGATAACAGTCCTTTTCTTTTACCGTTGAGATTGTTGCCCCTTTAATTCCCAGGGTTCCTGTTATTCCCAAATTAGAAATAGAAATTACTTTTTAACAAAAATAGTGTTGACATTGGTAGCTAATTATACCTAAAGTAGTAGCATATGCAGCCCTAATTTTAAAAACCAGACTTAGCTAGGGTTTGGCCTCAGTTTTTCATTTTCTTCAGGGATCTAGAGGACACTTTCATTTCTGTGAAACAAGACATGATTTCTCCCTTAAAACTGAGCTCAGTTTCTCCAGCTGGAAGCAAACCTTCTCTTCTAGTCTCCTCCAGTCCTTCCCGAGGGCCAGGTTCTGCCTTGCGTTAGTAAAGTTTAGATTTGATCATCTCGACTGTAGCATCTCGGTTAATGCAGACTTTCTTGTTTAGCCTTGTACCTGCAATTGACCAAACCTTGACCTCTGTGTAGTCGGTGGTCAGTAAAATACTCTGGATGTTTCCGAAAGGCTTCGCGTGGTTGATATCAAAGTAGTGGGTTTTAAGAGAGTTAGCTATGAGTGCAGTAACTTTTCTCTCCTCCACATCAGTCGTTTTGATGTTTTTAAACGAATAGATAAGGTCTTGAAGATAATAAAACAGGTTAATAGCCAGGCAGTGGTGGTACACACACTTTTAATTCCAGCACTTGGGAAGCAAAGGGAGGTAGATCTGTGAGTTTGAGGCCAGCCTGGTCTACAGAACGAGTTCCAGGACAGCCAGGGTTACACAGAGAAACCCTGTCTTGAAAAATCAAAAACAGAAACAAAAAATATTGAATTAATTTAATTTGGGGAATAGAAAAAATATTCTTTTATACCTCTTCATAAAGTTCAGGCCACATATTAGAGACTTTCATTTTATGAGTCACTGATCCAAAAAAAAAAAAAAAAAAAAAAAACGCTCAAAAATGTGTTACAGGAATAATTTTGTGTAATATCTTTTGAGGTTTTATTTATTGGTTTTTTTATGTGTATGTGCATCACATACATGCAGTGCTGGAAGAGGTCAGAAGAGGGTGTTGGATTCCCTGGGACAAGAATCAGAGACAGCTGTGAGCCACTGTGTAGGTGCTGGGAATTGAACCCAGGTCCACTGGGAGATCAGCCAGTATTCTTAACTGCTGAACCATCCATCTCGCCCCAGTTTTCTGAGAGCTCATGGACATCACACTAAAAGTGTCTGCTATAAATTCTGGAATGGACTGTGGCTGACTAGTGGAGGCCCAGGACACAATAGAAAATGTACCATATACAAAATCAGTTGGCCTGAGTGAATTCAAGCTTAAATTTTTTTTTTTTAAACTCAACTTGGATCCTCTGCAAGCGCTAGCAGTAAGCACTCTTAAATGTTGCGCTCTCTCTCTAGTCCCATAGCTTTGGGGTTTTTGCTTGTTTAGTTTCTGTTTTGTTTTACATTTGGTAAGTGTGTCATGTGCAAGGTTGTTTATCCTCTCTTTGCCTATAAAGTGAGATTGATTGTTGTATTAAAGACTGAAGACTAGGAAGATGGGTCAGTGGAGAAAGTGCTCGCCTTAAAAGCATGATGGTTGGGTTTCAGCTTCCAAAGTCTAGGGCAGGTGTGGCTGTAATCCCAGAACTCAAGAGGCAGGGACGGGATCCCTGGGGCAAACTGGCCAGCTAGACTCTGTGGAATTGCTGAACTCTGGGCTCAGCAACTCACCCTGCCTCAATGAGGTAAATAAAAGCAATCAAGAAGGACATCCACACATGCACACCCACCTTCACACCTTCAGTGTGCCTACACACTGAACACACATATATAAACGAATGTATATGACACACATACAAGACCCCCAAAAATATACAATATATTTAGAATAGCATTTCTCCTAGCTTTTGTTCCCCCCAGATTGCCATGTTACTACAGTGCTCTAAATTCCCGAGTCACAGGAATGTGCTATTGGTATATGAAAGTGACTGGGACAGGTAGAGAAACCCACTGTGAGCCGTGATGCTGCTCTGTGAAACTTGAGAACAGGTAAAGGCTTTCCTATAAAACCACAGTTGCCTTAGTCTTTTTAGACACTGGATACATTATGTCTACCGAAAGTCTTGTTACTTTTCATGTCACTTTAAACCCATCAATGTCTATGTAAGCAGCACATTTAACAAGTTATGTTAAAAATATTTAACTTTTGTGTTTTATCCAGTAAGACAAACAGCTTTTTTTTTTTTTTCACTTTAATTAGGGAAGAAGACAAAAACATATTTGATTACTGCAGGGAAAACAACATTGACCATATAACCAAAGCCATCAAATCGAAAAGTGTGGACGTGAATATGGAAGATGAAGAGGTATGAAAAACAAGCCCCATTATTTTGATTTCTGGTGAATGGATGTTTTGGGCTGGCAGGTTAATTTTTCTTACGCTTTGGCTCTACCCCAATGCCATATCTAACTGCTGTGCCTCTCAGCTATGAGTCCAAGTAGGGTATGGCTAAGGGCATCTCAGAGAGCATCATCCTGAGTCAAGAAACTGTGTCTGTTTCCAGTGCACTTTACGTTGTAAAAGTTAGGAGCTGAAACTTGCCACAGCCAAGTAACTTCCATTTTCTGTCTAAAAGGAGAGTGGGACTCACAGGTGACAGCAGGTTCTCGCTGATTGTAATGTCTTTTGTTACACCGTAAATACGTGTATCGGGAGGTGGATTTTTGTACAGAAATATTTTTGGAAATCTGTTGCAGAATTTTGATTAACCTAGTAAATTAAATGCTGGCCCATTATTTAAATGGACCCTACACTACATTATTTTGTAGGCTATATCACTTTGCAACTTATTTTGTATATAAAGTTGCTGCATACATATATAAAGTTGAATTACAGTTAACAAAAGAATAAAATTGGCTAGTTAACTTTTAATGACTTATTGTTATTTTACGGTTCTGTAGATGAACGTGGACATGGTCGCAGGGGCCCTGGAGGTGTGGTGTGCTCATACAGTGTTTATTGAGCGTGTACAAGGCCCTGAGTTCCATCCTTGGCACTAACAAAACAACAAAAAGGGGAGTCTGACATGAGATGGCTAAAACATGACAGATGTTAGGAAGACAGTGTTCACGGGTGATCTGTTGAGTGTGCAGATAGTCATTTGTGGGTCGAGAGCTCCGTATGCGGATAGTCTTTAATGTCTCATCTTTGGGAAACATCTTCCCTGTACTAGACTGTCTATGACTTCTGGAATTGAAAGTGTAAATTAAATTACAGTACTACATTTGATTCTAGCTTACTTGAGGCAAAAACTTTGAATTCTTTTAATTTTGCTTCTTTTGTAATTTACATATATGATGCTAAACAATATACTTTTGTCTTTTTTATGTCCGAGTTCTTTCTGTTTTATATTTTGTTTACCTGTTTTAATCATCTTCCTCTCTGTCTTTCCCTGCCCTCTTACTATCATTATGACACATATTTAAATTTCAGCTTTCTGGTTGAATATTCAATTGGTGCTCATGTTATACTCTGTAAGTACTGCTCATTGTTGAGCTATGGACTGCACTATGTGTATCAATCAACTTTTGCTACAATAACAAACAGCTCCCAAGGTTCAGTAGCTTATAATTTCTTGCTTATATCACCATCTTGTCATGGATGATAACATTTCCCATATTCTGATAGACGTTTCTCTTTCTAATATTTCAGAAGGACTTGGGGTTAGTTGAGGCCTCTTGCTAGTTTCCACCAGCTTTATTTAGAACCAGCTCCTCTTGATTTCATTTGGCCTTTTTTTCCAAAGGTAAAAGAGCAATGAGTTAGATACTCTGGTATAGAAACTAAACTAGGCATAACCAGATATCCCTCTCCATACATACTCCAAGTGCACTAACATTTTCTTTTATTAGATGTGTTATATATCGCATCAACCTACATTCTTTTGGCCAAAACAAGTCTTAAGACCAAGGCCTGTTTCAGTGGAATGTTTGTTCTGATTATCAACAAGCAAGGCAAGGGTGGAAAAGAGAACTGATGATTCTATAACTGCACGGTGATACCTACTTACCATGGAGCAACATTTTGTTCTTCTGAAAGTCAGTAGTTTTATCTATATTTATTTTCCACTGCCTTGGTTTTCTCTGTTCCTATTATGAGTTCTCGCCTCTCACTACACTCACCAGAGAGTTCCCAGGCCATTTGTCTTGGTGTGTCCCTTCTGGGGTGGCCCTTCCTTCTTGATCCCCAGTCTGCACTAGTTGATGTCTTGATCTCTGTGTGGATGTTCTCCTGGGCCTTTTCTGTGTTACTGTTTTGGAATTTCTCTTCTTTCTTTGCCTGGCTTCATGTTTTCTGGGTCCTGTGACTTTTTCTTTTATAGTTTACTTCCCTGATTTCCTGGAGCATCTCCTTCATACCTTTCTCTTTTGTTATTTATTTTCCTATTTTTGTGGACCATTTCTTTTTGTAGCTTCCTTTAAAAGTGTAAATGGTTTGAGATTTCATTGACACTCTATCAAAATTCTCAGCATACTCCCTGACTAGTTAATGAACTAATGAATGACTAGGTAGCGATGGTAGATGGAATAATGGTGAAGACTCGACTGCATGGTTCAAGTCCTGGTTCTGTCGCTTCAGCTGCATAGCCCATGTTGATTGACTCTGCCTCAGTTTCCCAATAAGTAGATGGAGGTAACAGACATGCCTCAGGATCACTTTGAGTATTAGTGAGTTAATATCTGTGTGTAAATCGTACCTAACGCAGTAAGGCATGCATAATTTTCAACTTTGTTAGTTATCCTTAATATAAATGAAAAGTGAGAGTAAAATGAAGAAGTAAATGAAGGAACTAACTTTTCAAGATCCGTTTTCCATTGGGAAGTGTTCATGTGCCATATGACCCCTATTAATATTTTTATCTTTCAGCTAATAGTACTTTACACGGTGTCTGTTAGAGTCTGCAGAGCGCTTTGCTTCTTACTCTGCCGCGTTCACAGGAATCTTTTATAGTAGAGTCATCCTTATTTCACAAGCAAGAACTAGCATTCAGAGATGCGCATTTGCCTTTCTGATCCAGACAGCTGCCGGGTGGACTCCACTCCAGCAGAGAGAGCATTCTCACCTGTGTCACCTTGGACTTAGGAAGGATAAACAAAGCAGGAGAAACTTACTCAGCTGGCCCTGCTCATCTTAGGGTTTGCAGCCACAACGACCCTCCCTTCCTTCCCCCCTTCTTTCCTCCCTGTCTTCTTTCCTCCTATATGGTTGTGAGGTCCTACCCTTCTGTGACCTCTGCAAAGATGATTGGGGAGTTAGAATAAGTGCCTAGAACAGAAGCAGCTTATACTAAATAACATAAATTTGTGTTGGTAGAACGACAAGAAGTTGGAAGCTGTTGCCTGACCGTTCAGCGTTCGGTGCAGCATTGCTCAGCTCCCCATGCAGCTGCTGTTACCCCAGCCCGCCAGAACCTTGTGTTTCCACGAACAGATGAAGTGCTTACACATTCATAGACTGAGACACCAAGAATTCAGTTGGGTTCTCTCATCGCTCCAAGCAGATTTCTGCCTTCTCAGCCATGACAGTGTGGGCTGAGCTTTGAATACTGATGGCAGGCCCTTTATTATCAATCAGGGATTTGTATGAATTAATTTAAGAACATGGGGAGCTGGAGCTTAAAATCAGAATCAAATTTGACATCCTAAATGAAATAAATTACAGTGCTTCATGGCACTTAAAGCTCTAACAGGTAGAACCGTTCGGTGAGTCTTGATAGACTGAAAGTGTATACCCTCAGAATTGTGCTTCTGAGTCGAGACGAATGTTTAGTATGGAAAGGACAGCCTGTTTATGTTTCTAATGTTTGAACTTAGGGCATTTCTGTACAAATTGTATAGGATTTCTGGAGATAACATTACCTTTATCATTTGATTGAAAATATTCACTAACAGGTTCAATTTTAGTCTTGCCCTTATGTGACTAAAAATTAAATTTATTACATGTAAAATGTGCTGTGAGCTATATAACCTTAATTATAGTCATAGAGTGAAAAGAATGCATAATGTGAACTATTATGCATTAAAATGACACAAGAAATTGTTAAATTATTATAAATTTATTAATCATTTCCTGAGCTGCAGATGTTTGGACCTGACCATCATCATGTAAGGACAGATCTATGTGAAATGCCTTTTCAATAAGCAGTGTTTGTTCCCTTCCTTTCCTTTTAGTTTTTTGTTCTGCTGTGTGGTTGAACCCAGGGCCTTCATATACTAGACTTTGGGCTGCACCTTCAGCCCAAGGCATACATTCTTTTTTCAAAGACTTTCTTTATTGTTTGAGAATTTCATATGTGTATACAATGAAATGTGATAAAACCCACTACCTAAGGCATGACTTTCTTTTTTTTTTCTTTTTTCTTATTTTTGGTTTTTTGAGACAATGTTTCTCTGTGTAATAGCCGTGGATGTTCTGGAACTCACTTTGTAGACCAGCAGGATGGTCTTGAACTCTCAGAGATCTGCCTGCCTCTGCCTCCCAAGTTCTGGGATTAAAGGCATGTGCCACCACCACCCAGTCCAAAACATATATTTCTAATTTGAGAAAATAACATGGTCTTTCTAATTGGCATAATTAAGGGGTGTTATTTTACATAAGAGGAAAGGTCTTGTTATTCCTTCTACTCAGGAAGTTTTTCTATCAGGTGTTTATAACAACATGGGCTTTATGATTTAAATTACAAATTTAACTGTAATTTTAGTATCTGCAACTGTTTGGAACTGGACAATATGAAGAAAAACATGGAGGGGTGAGTGTCGTTAAGACTGGTCTTCATTTCATATACTGGTTCAGGTTTTATATTTGACCATTTTGCTACAGTTCTTCACATATACTAAGCATTCACAATTATTCCAAGAAAATACCTTATTTTCAACAAAGATTTACTGTTAGTTTTATTTATGTGTATGTGCATCTGTGACTATGTGAGTGCATAATGATGTCTTTGGAGGCCAGGAAAGGGCATCAGATCCCCTGGAGCTGGAGTTACAGGCACTTGAGAGATATCCAGTGAGGGTACAAAGAACCAAACTTGAGTCCTCTGGAAGAGCAAGAAGTGCTCTTAACCTTTGCGCTGTCTCTCCAGCTTCAAGAAGATATCTTGGCTGGGCGGTGGTGGCGCATGCCTTTAATCCCAGCACTTGGGAGGCGGAGCCAGGCGGATCTCTGTGAGTTGGAGGCCAGCCCGGTCTACAGAGCAAGATCCAGGACAAGCACCAAAACTACACAGAGAAACTCTGTCTCAAAAAACCAAAAAAAAAAAAAAAAAAAAAAAAAGAGAAAGGAAAAGAAAAAAGAAAGAAAATA